GCAAAGCATCTCCAGGGAGGAAACTCACAATTTGAGTTTTGAGAACATGGGCTCCAGACTTCAGGCAGTCATTGACTGCAAAGGATTTTCATCCAAGTATTAAAATTATGGTTATATTTACAATTATGTCACTTTGTCCAAATACCTTTGAGCCCCTGAAAATGGAGATACTTTGCTGAAAATGGCTGTAATTCCTAAATGGTAAATGCCATATTTTTGTGGAACCTCTTAAAATAAAGCTGAAAGTCTACACTTCGATCACATCTTGACTGTTTTATTTTAAATCCATTGTGGTGGTGTATAAAAGCAAAATCACAAATCTCTGTCATTGTCTAAATACTTCCGGACCTGACTGTGTATATATTTATATATTTATATTTTATATATATAGTCTATACCTATTTTATGCTGTCTACTATGGTTGGTAGTAGTATGCTACTATTGGTTGCTTTCAGAGTGCTTTATAAATTACTTACACATGTTACAACTGACCCCACTCTCCGCTAGGATACTGTTTTTTTTTGCATTGCCAATAACTCCTTGTATATAAATGCAGTCCAGGTGCGAGTGCGTGTGTTGTGTCGGTAGGCTCGCGCTCTAATCGGTTTTATTCCGGTGTGGGCCGGAGGCGGGGCGGATTACCTCCCCCCGGCCTTTTACTGCGCTTTTATCCGAGCGCTCCGTTTTCTCCCCAGCGGGTGAGAGTGCAGTAAGGCGAGCCGCGGCGTGAAGAAGTCACGGATGAAGAAAAGCGTGCGATGCGAGTGTCAGAGGGAAAAGCAGCGGGGTTGCTAGCCGAGCCGTGCGCGCGCGTGTGAAGACGAAACGCGGATGTAGCACATGGATTGTTTCGGTCTCAGGTGTGCGACGCTGCTGCTGGCGGTGACGCTCGCGCCGCTCGTCACAGGTAAGCAGATCCGCTCCGTTCATGAAATTCACGCCGACTGCCTCCCGGGACTAACTTTGGCGAGTTCTTTTATGCCTAATGTGCACCAGCTGACCTCTCATAAAACTTCATGGCGGTTTTTTTTTTGTTTTTTTTTTTTTAATGTAGTTTAATTATAAACTTGCAAGAGGACTCTGAACCTGTGCAGCTATAAACGCACGCGCTGTTATGCAACGCTACTGTGCACCAGAGAGAAGTCGAACCACTGGAGGGGATTTTCTCTTTAAAGGAGGAATAAAGTGCAGTTTCTGTCTCTAACACCTCCACCTGAATGCAGGCTTCTCTCAGTCCTAGGGCTCATGTTGGTGGTGGGTTTCCCTGCTCTGATACCCCTGACTCCCCTCATCACTCAGTAACAACACTTCATGGGGTTAAAATGGTGTTAGAGCAGGTCAAACATTTAAATGTGTAATACTATTGGATAGAAACCCTGTCTTTACCGATAGGACTATATATATAGTGCAATAAATCGTTTGTTAATTTCTTATCACAATATTTGCTTTTGCACTAATGATATCACACTATTGCAATCTATGACCTGTTTTGTCTGATCAATCCTGAAGGTGCAAAACAAATTTTCTGTGAATGCATTGGTCAGTTGTGGCATAAACAAACAAACAAATAACCTCTTGAGATCCAAACTAATGTGTGCTGTGTAGTTTATCAGTTTACAATTTCCACTTAACAGCAACCTGATTACTATGGAAATTATACAATCTCTTCAATCAGGAAGAATTCTGGGAAAAGAATAACCTGACTGTTCTCATATAAGGGTCTTATGAGGATAAACACACTAAGTAGCTGGGAGAAAATGCAATGTTCTCATACTAGATAGATAGATAGATAGATAGATGGATGGAGATTCACCAGTTTGTTGTAATATTTTTATTTTGCAAGACCTTTTGCAGCTGCAATGTAATACCACAAATATGTTGTAAATACACACATGCTACTTTACAGGCTTTGAATGTAGCACTGATGTCCTGCCCATCAGTGAGTTAAGTGTGTGTAATGAGGCTAAACGTAACCTCCTGTCCTCTACTAATCTGGCTTTATGAGATTTGTAGTGAAGTTTATATTTGTGTTGTTCACTTTACTTTGTTTTGTGGTCATGGTGTGTGTTTTTTTTTTTTTTTTTTTTTTGTTTAAGTGCTGCAGTATGATCGAGCTCTGAAACACAAGGGACTGTCTGTGTTCACTGAAATGATTTCTGATCGATTTTTGTCCTTTATTTATTTCTATAATATTTTTTGCTTATTTTCTTTGTTTCTTAGTTTCATTTCCATTTCATTTTAGGCTTCTGTTTCAGATAGAATCTACTTTTGGTAGGGGCAGGTGATTTTTTTTTTTTTTTTTTTTTTTAGAATTTGATTCTGCATATTTAAAACTCAGTGTTTCAGTGGTTGATGTTTGGGGGAAAAATGCCTACTTATGGTCAAACGCTGTACTGTCTCTGGCTTCATTCTTAAGGATTCCTTCTGCTGTCCATAGTTTACTGTTATGTCTTGAATGACTTTCTCTTCATAATAATTTTATGCCAAAAAAATGAAGTTTCAGATGACATGCTCAGTTCTTATATTTGTCTGGATGACACCCCTACCCCATGCCCCCCTACCCCAGGTATACACCAGACCACTAGGGGGGTAATAAAGCTTCACTTCATGACACACAAATGCCTGATACAATGAAGCAGCACTATTATAAACCCATTCTATCCAAGCATTAGCCATTCCATTTTAAAACATTTTTCATTACTTCTGGTAAAACATGCTGTAATGTTTACTGCATTTTTTTCAGCTTTTAAATAACTTGTTTTCCAAAAAAAAAAAAAAACAACAGACATTTTGCCCCAGTAGTCATCTTCTCATATTAATAGTGCTCTTCCTGCTCTTGACATGTTAGTTCTTGAATTAAGAGGTCTCTTTATGAAGTTAATGTAGTTCGCGACAGACCCAGCTTTTTCACTGTTTTATAAAATGAAGATAGACTTGCTCATCTTATTGAAGTAAATTGAAGTACCTTAATCTCAAGATGATGGGGTTGGAAATGGGAACATAATAGTTTTGAGAGTTAACTGGACATGCATAACATTTTTCAGGCATGATTTAATTAATTTGTCAAATGAACGAGAAGCTCTTGTGCTCTTTCCTAAATGCCTGTTGTCAAGAATACTTTATCAAGTCTGCAGTTTTCCCTGAAGCTTTAGTTTCTCAAGCTGAACTCAAACCTACCAAGAGTTATTGCAAAAAGTGTTGCTGCAACTGGCAGTACTAGAAATATTCCCAGTTGAACAATTTTTTTATTATGTGTTTGAGTGGCCTTAAGTGGCCCTGGCGTGTTTTTGTGTATTCTGTTAGAAACCTTGAAATGCTACTTTTGATTTGTATAGTTACATTATAATTCTTTTTATTACATAGACACGTTTATCCAACACGAGACAAAGTACAATCCAAGGACTATTAAGGCAACAGACAGGGATAGAAGTTCTGAAAACCTTTTGACCAAAAAACACGGTGACGTACTTGGTAACATTGATTGCCTCACAGCTCCCGGGTCCTCCGTTCGATCCTAAGCTTGGGTTATCGTCTGTGTGGAGTTTCTGTATCCCTTCTCTCTAGGTTCTCTGGCTATGCTAAATTGCTCCAAGGTGTGAATGTTTGTGTGCGCACGGTGCTCAGTGATGGATAGGCATCCCACCCAGGGTGTATTCCCATTTCGCACTTCAGATCCACTGCGACCGTGACCAGGACAGGGTTGCTGATGATGAATGAACAAAAGACATTTTACTGACACTTTTATCCAAAGCCATTTAGAATGGGGACAGGATACATCAGACCTGTTGAGGGGTTAAGAGCCTTTCTCTAAGATCTAACAGTGGCACCTGGACAGTGCTGGGATTTGAACTCACGACTTTCTGATCAGTAGCCCAATACCTTAACCACTGTGCCATCACTGAGATCGATAGTTTTTGAAGTAATCGAGGAAAAATACATCTAATTGTAGGAAAAAGTACTGGTCAATGATTGTACCTGCCCACAGCTGGCACTGATTGTGAACAGTTAGTCATTGTTTACCTAAGACATGACCAGTGTGGTAAGTACATCTGTGTCGAGTTGTGATTTTTAAAAAAAACATTTTTTTCCCCCCACTTTCTCTCTGCTGTTCTTAATTCTGCCAAATGACATAAATGTAAATGTAAGTACATCTGAAAGAGTGTATATAACTGGAGTGTACTAACATAAAATATATCTAAAAATCCACTGACTAACTGTTCTATGAAGTATGCTCGACCTTGTGAGGTGATTGCTTCTACTTCTCACCTCATTTTCTCTTTGAGTGTGTCCAGAGGAGGATGTTGGCATGGAGACTTTGAAGACCACAATGCTTTTTATGCTCATGCTGCTGAAAAATGTTTAGAGAAAAGCTAGCGAAAATGAATGCTGGAAATTTCACTATCACTTTGTTCTGGGTTTTAATGTGTTTAAAGTGTAAGCTGTTGGATAGCAAGCAGCTTATGCAGCAAAGAAGGAAAATTAAAGCCCTTTGAAACAGACAGCACGGGAAAAAAAAATCATTTTGATGTGGATGGAAATGTAGCCAGGTTTTTTTTTTTTAACTGAGGAAGCCCTGCTTTTTACATTGTACAAGAGAAAATCAATTCAGACAAAAAAAAAATCTTTTCAGACTTTGAAGGATTTTGCTTGGCCTGTTTTAACATCTATCTTGGGTGAATTTTTATGTTGCTGCTGTCTTACCAGCTTTTATTTCCATATTTTTATTTCATGGCATATTCCACGAAGCACATTGCTTTCACAGTCTATTCTTTCCCAACAGGAACTAGTGAATTTAAAGGACAGATACTACAACTGCGTTGTAATATAATTGCACTAAATTAGGAAAATAAACCCAGAAGGAATTAGGAAAATAAACATATTTGTTTATTGGGCAAAGTGTTTGGATTCTAAGTTCTGTGGTTCACTATGGGATTTCTTGAATACAATCCTGCAAATGACCAGTCTCATCAGGACAGAAATGTTACCATCATAGGATAAAGGTGATCAGTCAGAAGAACTTTGTATTGATTTGCAGTGACTCTTACTTCTGATGGGACAAGTGGACCCAATGGCCACCATGTTTATGAGATGATTGTGTATGAATGTTCCACTCTTTTGGTACTCACATCTTTGAAACTCACTTTCTAACAGCTGAGAATTCACAAGTTGTGATGCAGTGTTGCCATTCCTGTGATGGTATTCAGTTGGAAATTCAGTTTGTGGTTGTGATAAGGGTAATCCTAGTTGTACAATGTCTATTCTTTGGAAATTGCCAACATATTTGAGAAAATGTAGATATTATGTACAAATGTAGATGTTATGTCTCATTTCCCCTATTTATACTGTCAATATGAAAGATATGCTACATATGCTACATTCAAGCTAGGCAAATTGTTCATGTCAGTCATGACCTATGGGCCATGGAGCATCTGATATCTTTCTGATACTTTTCTGGCCACAAGGTTCAGGATCTTGAAGGTTATAATCTGATTGGCTGTCCACATTTCCATGCAGCAGATTTCAAAATCTGGCAAAAGAAACTGTGACTTGTTTTGAAGCAAGCTATAGTCACTAGGCTGCAAAGTGTTCACAGACTCCCATCTTTAAAATTTATTAAAGGTCTGTGGTTGCTCATCTGACATGTCAGTCATATTGCCTCTTTCTTAAGAAGTAGGCAGTTCTTGGCCGGTGTGTAAATGGAATCTGTCTTTTTCTATGGCATAGAATTTTGCCTGTTTTCTGGATTGTTCTTTGAAAGCAGGAGAGTTTAACCTGTTTTAGCCGGACAGGTACGAGTGGGGCAGTTTGAGATTAGCACAGTGTTAGCCTAAGCAGCCTTACCCAGATTTACTTGCAGTCTAAAGTCCTGGATCCTGTTGTGTAACATGAAAAAGCACAACTCAGTCAACTCAGCTAGTGGCCACAAGATGGCTAACGGCCATAGAAGTTAAGCCAATTATACCCATTTTAGCAGTGGAGCAACATGAGGACAATGGACGTTATGTTTCTTTTTGGACTGCCAGGGGATCTTTTCTAGGGACCAATTTGTGGATTTCAATTTGACATTTAATACAATTATTCAGGATTTGCTCCATTCCAAAATTGCCAAGCTCAGCATACCTGCCTCCACCTGTAACTGGATCTGCAGCTTTCTGACTGGTGGAGGCAGCAGGTGAAGCTGGGGAAACTCACATCTGGAACCCTGACCATGAATGCTGGCACACCCTTTTTCCTCTGCAATATTCTTCTCTGTGCAATATCATTCCATGTACTCCATCTTCTTATTGCCTTACAATTACTAATTAACAGCTAAAGGTATGTGGACACCTGACCATCACACTTGTATGTGGTTCTTCTCTAAACTGTTGCCACAAAGTTGTACGCACACAATTGTATAGAAGGTCTTTGTATGCTGTAGCATTAAGATTTCCCTTTACTGGAACTAAAGGGGCCAAACCTGTTCCAGCATGACAGTGTCTCTATGCACAACGTGAAGTTGTATGGAAGAACATGAGTAACTCGATCCCTGATCTCAACCTTACTGAACACCACAGCCACGTTCCAAAATCTAGTGGAAAGCCTTCCCAGAGGAGTGGAGGTTATTATAACAATAAAGGGGGACTAAATCTGGAATCAGATTTTCAACAAGAACATATGACTGTGATGGTCAGGTGTGCACAAACTTTTGGTCATATAGTTTATAGTGCTTCCACTTCAGTATGTGTGTTATATTCTACTAGCACTGTGTTTATCTAGTATCCTTATTTTTTTCTTATTGTATTGTCTATATGCACAATGACACCTCAACATCCAAGTCAAGTTTGTTGCACATACTAGAGGACTTGGCCATTAAAGCATGATTCTGATTCGCATTCTGATTCTAAAGATTGGAATTTAGTTTGTTTGTCCTGCGTGTTTTGAGTGAAGCTTATTTGGTATAACTTGGTATAAACCATTGGATTGAAGAATTAAGGAAGATTAAATTCTCAAACAGCAGAGAACGTTGCTTTGACTGGCAAGGACAGATTTAAAGGTGGAACCCTAGCAACAAATGGTATTTCAATATTATGAACTCTGAGGATTACAGTAAGGCAGGAGTTCTCAAACATTTTTGGCCAGTGACCTAATTATTTTTTAAATACTCTATAAATCAGATTTGTCCGTAGATGTATAGTTGGTAAAAATCTCTTGCAAACCCCATCAGCATCTCAGTACACTCCATGTGGAATTAAAGGGTCTTGTGATATTTTGGAAAATCAAGTCAACTGTGTTAATTTGCATTAACATCTTACATGCTTCTGTAAAATTTCAAACTCCAAGGCTTTTTACCAGTAACTAGTTGAAAATAATGAGTGAGAGCATTGTGGAAATGTGGGACTCCTTGGTGTTTAACAGGTTAACGCACACCACTGAGATGGTAGTCAATAAATGCAGTGTTTCTCAAGAGAGAGAGAATTGTGTTATAAAAATGACCTTATTCTGCCAAAGGTTTTAGTGTTCAGGAATTCAGTCATAACAACAGTTATTTTTCTCTGTGTGTTTCCAGCACTTAAGTGTGTGTGTCAGCTGTGTGCGAATCACACCTGCGAGACGGAGGCTGAGGGCGCATGCTGGAACTCGGTGATGCTCATCAATGGGAAGGAGGAGGCCGTAAAGTCCTGCCTGTCCCCCAGTGAGCTGAAGGGACAGGTGTTCTGCTACAGCTCCAAAGATGTGTCAAAACGCAACTGCTGCTTTACTGATTTCTGCAACAACGAAACCCTTCACTTACGCACAGGTACCGTGCCTTCTTTTCTTCTGTTTAGCTATCCTCTGAGGGATGATTTGATTTGATATACTGTAAGTGAAGAGTTATCATAGTGTCTCTTAAGCCCTGGTCTCCCAGGAGGACAAGTACTACTATACTAACTTTACATATACACTGATCTGCCAGTATATCAGGTAAACCTACCAGAGAGGTTACTCAATGTAGTACATCTGTTAATATAGCACACTTTGTCAGCTTCTTCTACCCCATCCTTTAATGGAAACGTTCCACCACTGAGCAGATATTATTTGATTGGTGGATCATTCTGGTGGTAGAAATGACACTGGTGTGTGTTTCTGGTTTGAGTGTTTTAGGCACAGCAGCATTATTTAACAGAAACAGTCCACCAAACAACTTACCCAGCTAACAGCAATCATGTGGTCAGACACTTATGAGTGCTAGAGGACAATTAACATAACATAAACTGTGTGTGTGTGTGTGTGTGTGTGTGCGCGTGTGTGTTTGTGTGTAAAAATGAACCATGTCTGATTCATCCTGGTGTTCTGTTATTGCTTGGAGTACTTCTGACTCCCTGTCTGCTGTAAAAACAGTTTATGGTAAAGTCTCACCCTTGCTTCAGTGGATAATCTGACCTGGATACTGTACACTTGAACTTGCTGTATTCACAAAGACTGTCCTGTGCTCATCCCAGGACTCTTATTCACAGTCTGCTCACACTGAACATCCAACACACTACGTACTCTTCCATAGCTGCATACTATTAATGCTTTTAACTAACTGGTGTCACACAGAAAAGTATGGGTTTTGAGTCTGGCTCCTGTCATGATTTCTTCCTCAAGTCATCTCATGCCACTGTTCCTTGTGGCTTGTTCATCAAGGATCTAAATCTACATCCAGATGTCTGTAAATCCACTTTGTGGCAATGGCTATTGTTAAAAGAGTCATAGAAATAAAATTGAATGAAACTGAACTGAATAACTCTATACCTAGAAAAGAATGTCTACCTGATAAAATGTCCAATTAGTGTAGTTGCTAAAGAGGAAACTTGGTATATAGATGCCCAGGACAGAACAAATATTCACATTCACCAATAGCGGCACCTTATTGTATGATGTCAACAGGCTATGCACAAAT